AATGATACCATTTGTTGAAAAAGAACCTGTTTGAATAATAGTAAAGCAGTAGTGAGGGAGAATACATACATTCCACTGTTGTCTCTTTAGGATCTTTCTCAGGTGTTGCTGGATGTTACATCTGGAAAGACTGATACTGTGATAGGTTTGGCCGACTCTGCGGTGTTACAGTTACAGTAGTGCTCATGTAGCAGCAGGGGGAGCTACCAGCATGCCACAGAGCTACAGATACAGTTCTGTTACAGCTCTAATGGAAAGTTTTTGTAAGGCTGGTAGTAGCTTTAAGGTGTCCTGTTCCTGTGTTTTGTCGTTACTGGTGCTTCACACTGAGAATGTGAACCTGCAGCCTCAAAATTGCATTGCAGAAAGTGAGAATTCTGCTTCTTCAGAAAGTCCCTTTTTTTTTTTTTTTTTTTTTGTGAAGATTGCTTCATAGCCATTTAGTAAGTTTTTAGATGGGAAGTGGAGAAGTAATAAATGGAGGAGATTGCAATATAAAAGTGCTTTTGTAATGACCCACTGGAAAAGCATCCTGTCCAGCAAGGTTTGGTTTAAAACAAAATTATGAACAATAGCAGCAGAATAATGAGGGGAAACAAAGAAAAAAAGGAAATAAAATGAATTTCAAAAGAGATGGAGCTAAAAGAGAAAAAGGGCTGATAGTAAAAATGAATAGTGACAACGTTATTAAGGGCTTTGGTTTATAACTCTGTGGGTTTTCTGGGGTTGTTTTATGGATCTGAGGGGATGTATTTTATAAGATTAATTTCATGTGTTGTATAAGATTAATCAAGAAATTTATAGGGATTTGGTTTCCATAAAAAGTAGATTTGGCCCATGGTCTTTATTCAGATGTTTTCACCATCATTCTGCCTTTACAAATGCTCAGTAAAAATAAAATATATTTTCTTTTTAGGCTGAGCTAATAGTATGATTAACTCCTGATCAAGGAAAAAAGTCTTAGTTAATAAAAGACTCTTGATAGAGTATAATTGCATTAGTTCATTTCATTCTTTGTATTGAGACTGTCTTGGCAGTGAAAGTACTGAACTGACTTGAGTGAGGGCAGTAGACCCTCATGGAAGGAAGACAGTGTCATGAAGTATTCACTTGAACTGGATTGAGGGAAGGCTTTGAGGAAGATAGAGTAAGAGGAGATATTTTTGGAAGCTAGGAGAAAACTGAATTAGGGAACTTTCTGCATGTTTGCCTTAAAGCTTGTGGGGGAAAAAAGTTGTTTCAAAAGGAATAAAAATAGTGATGGCTAATTTCCTATAGATTAGTGTCATTTTGTTCTCTAATTCTCACCTTCCCCAGTGTGAAATACAACAATACCTCAGTTAGTTTGGAGCTGAGTCTATGATGACTGGCCAGCTGTTTTCTGCCAAACAGAATGGATAATTTCTGCTTCCTCTTCCTTGGTGGGAAAACTAGTTTACATTTCTTTCTACATACCAATTTTATATAATCAAACCTCTGAGGAACAAAAGAACCCTTAATTTGAGACTTCTAAACACACTTTAAGTTATTTAACATGTTCAGTGTGTTGAAAAGTCATTTGAGAAGATTAAGACACTGAAATTGTAAAAAGCTTGTTTCTTTAGGAAGCCAAGTTACAAAGTATAAATGCAAGGTCAAATGAAGATATTTAATTAGAAAATAAATAAAAACAAAAAAACACTAACAAAAACAAACAAACCTCAAAAAACAGCTCTAACCCACTTTCTGTAGAAAGATATCACTAGTGTAATTTGCTAATGTTTATATTTTATTTTAAGACTTCAGGTTTTTTTAAGTAAACACAAACTTAGTACACTGTAGCATGTAATTCAGGTAAACAGCTGTTTTGAGAATTATGTTTGTAGTTCTTAACATTTTGAATCATATTTTGAACAATAGTGCATTTTTATTTTGCATTATTAATTACATATAATAATATAATAAAAATATTGTAAGTAATATAATAAAATAATATTTGTGGCATATTATGTGCATGGGGTTTATTTCATGATTCTGATAGCCTCACCCTGAACTCTACTGTTCAAGTATTGGTTTTCATTGTGTGGTATTTTGTTATATTGAATCTCGAAGGCCTTTTATATCTGTGTGTGGGGTTATTTATTTATTTATTTGTCACTGATCCTCCTTTAACATGGACTAGTGACCTCTTGAGGTACCTTTAACCTGGATTATTCTATGACACCAAGCCCTTAGTAATACCCTGTTCAGGAAGAACTGAAAAGCCCAGTAGCAGAGGAGGCTGCCAACAAAACTTCACCCTCAAAAGGCCAGGAGTTTCTTTCAGAAAAAAAACCAACAACCAACCAACCACAAATCACAAAACAAAACAAAAAAACCCCAACAAAATAAAAGTTAGGCTTTCCAATTAGTGTTCCAGAGAAATTCTTACATAGGATTGAGTTAGAGAACCTTACTCTGTCTGGAGCCTCATGCCTTAATCTGCATTAAGGTATTCCTCTTGTTTAATATATGAATATTAGGTTAAAGTCATAGAGCAACAATTTGGAAGTTTGTTGTTTAATCACCTTTCAGATTGATGTCAAAATCCATGGTATGTCAATGGATTGCAGGGGAGCTGTACACAGATAAAAGTTTGCTATGTGAACCTAATTTGTTATGCTTTGCAAATTATTTTCTTAAAAATGTAATACTGATGGTAAGTGTAAAGTTCCTATTTTATTTTATCTTCCAGTAAGCATTCACCCATGTGCTTAGGGATTCTTACAGTGCCCTAAACATAGCATGTTTTATTTATATACAAAGTTTGATGCATCAATATGTCTTCATGGTTGATGATGTTTTCTGTTTGTTTTTGTTTGTTAATTTTCTTAACATGTAACTTTCTGGAAAGTGAAAGTGAAAAGGTTAGGACAAGAGCTTTCTATTTTGAGGGAAATCAAAACACTTTCCTTATGTTCTGGGAAGATACTTTAATAGAAACACCCAAATGACATGTGAAGTAAATCAAAATAAGTTAAAATATGCTTCCCAAATATTTGTGTTGGAAGGACTCTACACTTTTTACTTCATAGTGAACATTTCTTTTGTTACTTGGAAAATGTATGTTCTAAAAATAAGTGAGAATATTTAGACTTGTGTAAACAGGGAGCATTCAACCCAATATGGGTGTATTGCAGTATTAAACTGCTTTACCAGGAAAATTAAGCATCTTCACTTACATGGCTTTAGGAATCAATGGCTTTCTTCTTGAATAGATGATGAGAAATAATGTTAATGTAATTAACTTTGAAAATATTCTTTTCTTCTCAAGTCCTGTTGCTGATTGAGAAAAGTAAACCCTTGGAAACAGTTTATGATGATAAAAATCAATCTTGGATCAGGTTTTGAGCATAAATAGAATTCAGCTCATTCACTCTGGGTCTTACAAAAAATCCTACTAAGTGCAAACACCACTACAAAGATACAATGCACTGTTATATTTTAACATGGCCTTTTTCACAGTCATATTCAGCATACGCTTTATGCTTTTTCAAAGATCTTTACAAATACTAGTCTTACATAACTCTATTTTCGGTATTTTGTATCTGAGTAGGTACCTGTTTCTTCTCTAATTCTTGATTTATTTATAATTAACTATTTTGTTTTAATAGCATTTAAATGTTTCTAAATATTAAAAAGTCCTAAAATTGTATTAAAATTAAACTTTACACTCCGAATACCAAGACAAAATTATATTGATAATTTATCAGTAATACTTTTCAGAACCTGATGAATTCCTCCTTTTATGAAGTTGTTCTTTTTTTCATTCAGGAAGAAGAAAGACGTATGGCATCTGTTGCAGCAAGGAAAGAGGAGGAAAGGAAGCGTGAAAGCCATAAACAGACCTTGCTTAAGGTATTTTCTATGGCTGTTTTAAGCCTACTGTAAACCACTTTATAGCAATAATCTATACCCTAGTAATTTTTGCTGTAGTTCTTACATATCCCAATATACTTCTGTCTCTTTAAACTTCTTTTTTACAGCTTAAACAGTGCACTCCACAACTGAAACCCTCTTCAGTCAACTATGCAAGTTATACTTTAGCAAAAAACCCCAGTTGAATACCTGAGTGTGACATATGAAAATGAAGTTTGACATCCTTTTACATAAATCCTGAGATAAAGTAAATCCAGAGTAAAGTAAAAGATTTTTCAGTGATTTCAAATTCCTTGAACTTGGTCTCCCCCATTTCAGGTGAGTGCTCTAACTGTTGCCATGCAGGGTGTTCTGAAGTAGTTTTTCCTTCCTTCTTTCCTGTTGTAGTTGTTCCTTTTTGTAGAAAGAGTTTATCAGTCATCAGAGCAGCAGCTAGATTCCAGCTGTTGTCTTTTCAGAAGAATGCTTATCTACCAGATCACCTGGCCTGGTTAATGCTTATATACATGAGATGGAATAGCTCGAACAGGGGAGACTGAGGTGCACTCCAGAATACTCTTATGGGACTGGTGACTAAATGACCTGCGATCCTAATAGGAGACCAAAGTTCAAGGATCTGAGAGCATCTGCATTCCATTTGTTGTGTGAATATCACCATTTGTCTCCAAATCATTTTTCTTTGGAGAAAAAAAAGGTGCCTAAAACTTTTTATCATCCAGTAATTGGTAGTCAGACAAGAAAAAAAATGTTCATGTATCCATAATGTTGTTGCCTAGGTAAGATCATATTCCATGAAGGGGATTAGACTGAAAGTAGTTGCAGGAGGCTGTAAGAAGTGTATCAAATGTATATAATTCTGAAAAATAAAAAGACACAAATAGAATGTTACCAATATACTACAAGATTTCTTAAGTATTTAAAAAAAAACCCAAGAACCTAAATATATGAATGGGGGGGAAAAAAAAATCCACGTCTAGTGCCTAAGAATTTATTTTGATTTCCTGTATATTTGTATCCATGTATATTTTAATTTTCTGTTTAAAAAAAAAAATCAATATAGCACAGAAGTCTTATGTACATACTTTTTTTTTAAGCAGTGTTGTGGTTTGTTTCTTTTTTTTCTTGTAAGGTACTGATGTATTTAAAGTCTCTTCAGGTTTGAAGTTTTGATGCCAGCTCTTAGTAACATAAAGAAATGGGAAATTAGTAAATAATATTCATGCATGGTGTTATTTTATGTTATTGAAAAGCTGTGTGTCTGGACTGGAAAAAAAGTAGGTGTTTATTTACAGTTTGTGTTCTTAACCACTGGTGTAATGTCTGCTTGTAGCAGAGGGATTGTTTGTCTTGATGGCGTAGATTTCTCAGCTTATTTTGCTAGTGGCAACTTCCCTGAGAAGAAAAAAAAAATATTTTTAATGTACAATAGCATTACTACTTAGGTTTCAACATTAAATTGTAGGTTTTGTAATTTGATCAAGGTTTCTTTCTTATATTCATGCATAAGAGCCAAATACCAGTATCGTTTGCATGATTTGGTGATTTTGTATATCTTTCCTTTGTAAATATGTTCTTGTGTGTTATAATTCTGGTTTCTTTTTTTCCCGTTTCACACATTTGAATTGAAAGGAACAAATCTGCTCATAGATACAGTGTCCAGTGGAAACAGTTGCCAACTATAGGATTTTCTTCATAGTTAAATCTGAAGAAAATATTTAGAGAATTATGTTCTGCAATTTTTGTTGTTGTCACTTTCCTCCAAACCTTCTTAAGCTATATGCAGTGTAAATGAAATTATAAGCACTCATTCAGTAGCAAACAATTGCTGTTTTCCTGTATTCACTGCATCAAAAAGGTTCGTTTCAGCATTGTCATCTCTTCTTTTTCCGTTGCTAATACTTGTCCACCCTAACAGTGGAGTTTCTTCATCTCCCTTTTTCCAGACTATTTTTTAATTGCTTAAAACCCATTCCTCTGGGGAAGCTTGAGATGTACTTTAAAATGTACAGAGGATGCAATTCCTTTCCAACAGAGGCTGAATTTAATATTTACTGGAACAAGAAATAGTATTGCCAGCAGAATCTTCACAGTTATAAAATTTGCTTTTTGTAAAATGTGTTCTTGGAAGTTTTCAAAGCTCTATAGGAATCCAGCAGCCCACAGCTGAGGGCTAACAAAGCAGTAGAGCTGTATGGTGGTTGAAGTTATGAGGAGACCCTCACCCTCAGAATAAACAGAATTTTCTAAATGTGATTGAAAGAAAATGCTGACTATTTCAACTTCACCTACTTTCTGTGACATGGAGCCCAGTCATCGCTGAGTTTGTTGGGTGCTTGGTGTTCTCTAACCAGATAACATCATAACACTTGGGCAAATTGAATGTGAAATAGAGTTTTGAGGTCTTTAAAGTGGACAAACTTTCAGAGTAAAATTTTTAAAGTAGTTTCCATGTACTTTCAGTGTCAGTTATAGACAATTATGGACATAATTTTTATCAGTGTTTATTGTCTAGTAGATCTATCTCTGCATTGTCAGTCATTGAAATAGATCATGGTGTTTAATAGCTGTGCTGTGATGGATTTGCATGTAGGTATTAAATGTTTTACTGTGAAACACTTACATGCAGTTGTTCTTTATTCTTAAGAAAATACCTAAGGCTCCAGAAATTAGCCGTCACAGATGATAAAATGCTTTTTTTGTTGGTCTACTATTTTCAGTTTTTCAAAGAAATACTCATTTATAGTGTTTTACTCTTCACATCTCCAACACTGAGTACTTAGTGAACTACATTGCAGTGATGTCCACAACTCACCCACTTGTGAAAGGAATTATGTAAAAACATGATGGTAACAGTCAGATGTTACTTTTATAGATTAAACAGAGGAGCGTAGTCAGTACAGGTCGAGCTCAGTGTATCAAAAGTGTTAATTTCAAATTGTAAAATTATATCTACCCTGGTACCCTGCTTTTCTCCATAAGCATGTCAAATAAATTATCTTTCTTTTTTTTTTTTTTTTCCTGTTTGAAAAAAAGGGGCTATAAAAAAACTTTGTGGTTTGTGTTGATTTTTTTTTTTTTTTCCCAAGCCATGTCTTAGAACAGAAATGTAAATGTTCAATTTTAAAACAAATACATCCTTTCTAGCCTTCAGGATTTTGGGTACAGCTTTCTAAATCCTGTCCAGTATTCTGTTGTTTCCTTGTATATTAATCAGCTTAACAGAATATTCTAAAGGAGACAAGAAAGAGTGTCATGATATTTAAAATTATTATAATCGACAGACTTTTAACACTTTTAAGAAATTGATAAAAGTAATTAGTTTATGCTGTAAGGAAATAATTGTGAACAGGGATTTACCTTGCCTGAGATCCTTTTAGACCAAATTTGAGATCATTGCAACTTGAAGCTAACAAGTACTTGCTGTTTCAATCCCAGACTTCATTGCATTGAAGTAGAATATACACGAGTACATCCAAAGAGTATGCATCTTTTATCCTTCCCCTGTTTATGGGTAAAATTAGTGACAAACACAGGCTGCCTATGAACTGCTGTTTATACTACATACAGGGCAAATTCAGGTTTGTCTCCCTACACACACACACACATTCCAGAATATTAGGTTGGTTGGCTGTTTGCACTCCAGTTCCAATAGTGATGTTCTGGAATGTATGAGAGAAATTAAAGGATTATTAGAATATTGTATTTTAGTACTTTCTAAGAGCAAGAAGCTTTAAATTAGGGTTGTTACTTTGTATAGACTTGAAAGCTACATTTTAATAGCAAAATGAATTTAGAGTATGATACTATAAACCAAGAAATCATTGGCTTTGACTAATACTCTGTTTTCACCATGTTTTGTAGATGTATATTTATTTTATGCTAAGCTCCTCTATAATATTTTTCTCTTGGAAATTCTAAAGTCACTGTTGGAGTTCCACTGAGTAGTTTAACTATACATCAGTGAGATGGCTGACTCAAAGAGAATTAGATCTGGTTCAGAAAAAACAAATTAAGTGAAACTAACAATGAATTTGCCCGTAGATATTATTTATGTTGTGCAGTTTTCATTTGATGAGAGTCAGTTGCCAGTCCATGAGGTCTTACAAAGCATCTTGTTCTTTAACCTTTTAAAATATGCTAAACTGGCTATATTACATCATATATATCTGTATGATACAATGGAATAGTAAACTATATGTAGAATCATAGGTAGTTGACATGATTTGCATGACTATACAAGAACAAGTACTTGATAGACTTTTGAAATACCGAATCATTGACAAGACCTGTCTGGAATTTAAAAAACTATTACAAAACATTTGAACTTAGATCTGTTGTAGTCCTTGTGTCTGTTACAAAGATAATTTCATTTCCTGTTTTTATAAAATTGACTTCTTCCATTTTTTAGAAGATAACTTTTTTTTCCCCCCACACAGAGTATGTTGCAATTACAGCTAAGACAACAGTTGCGGAACTGTCTTAGCTTCAGCACTAGGGTCACTCCAGCGGCATGGAGGAAAGTACAGTCTGCCCTGTTTTGTGGGAGGAATGTTACGAGCAGCTCCAGACTGTCAAAACAAGACTTCTGTTGTTATCCAAACTAAATAGTTTAATTTGTTCTTGCACAAGTTGTGGATTTATTATGTTACTTTTCTTGTTTCTGTTACTGCAAATTTTGTGAATTGTTTGCTGGCAGTTATGTAAAATGGCACTAGAATGATGTCTTGATTTTAATGCATAACCACCAAACAGTACTATTGTTTTTTTTCAATTGAAAATGTTTAAAATGTTTGATTAAGCAGCACATTTCTTTCAGAAAAAACAAATATGTTGATACTGCACTCGTATAAACTTATGATTTTTGAATCATTACAGGAAAAGAAACGTTTAACTATTTGTAATATTGCTCGTCAGTGGGAGATACAGCAGAATCGAATAGCTCTTGTGGCTTCTTTAAACCAAGATAAAGATAACGAGCCCTGTCAAATCAATGGCAGTGATTCGTATGTATTTCCTGAAGAAAGCAGGTATTGTGAAATATTTATTCTTGTTCATGTCTTATATTCCAGGTTACTGCTCACTTGAGATCTCACTGTATTTTATTATCAAAAGTAACATTTCCAAATCAATCCTGAAAGGATGTTTTACTTTGTGATTAAACTTTGTGGCCCTTAGTAATAGGGACTATAAGTTAAATAAGTAATATAACAGCAGTTCATTGACTAAAGAAGTGCAAGCTACATTATTATGTGATTTTGCCAAATAAGGGAGGACTTCATGTTTGCAAGAAATCTTAAATATGAATTCTTGAGCCTTCTCAAGGGTGTTAATTTCTTTGACAGCTTAGATTGTTGCCTTTATTTGAAATGAACAAAATGAGGACATACCAGCATTTCAAACACTGGTAACCTCTGTGTGTCAAGAGGTTTCATAAACTGGCTGTTGAATTCATGTTCTTAATTTGAACAGCATCATCTCTTATGGACCCTTTTCCTACCCATGCTATTTTAACAATAGCAGTTCTTCGACTTAGTTTTATTCCTAAGATAGTTTTTGTATTGTTGGTTTAAAATGTGGTTATATTATTTTTGTGATACACTTTGTGGCTTGCTTATTCATCTAAAAGATGGCTATCTGGCATTCTATATAATTTAAAAAACAAATACAGAATTTAATGAACAGTGTGACCCTTGGATTGGCTTAAGCAAAAGTAGCACACTTTCAACCTGTCTAGCTCAGGCAAAACCATGACAAAATAGTCTGTGCAAATTCAGTAGCAAGTACATCTTTCTATTGTGCCTGATCAACCCTGGAAATGTCAGGTATGGCCAGGAAGTCTTTGCCTCTCACAAACAGAACCCATCTGAATTTCAGTCCAGTATTTGCTACACCTGTTTTTTATCTCCAGTTGAGTGCTGCATCTTTTGAAACATTTTATTTTCTTAGCATTTTTTGTATTGCTATAGTTCTTTCTCGTGCTTCCAAAACTTTCCCCTGAACATATATTTAGCCACTGCTTTTTTGCCCTCTTGGTTTCTTCACGATTTAATTCAGTGTTAGTAATCATCCTTGTGACCAAGTCAATATAATTATGGTAGCTTGAGTGTTGTTCTGTTAATGAACAGATTCTCATTCCTTGAGAAATCATGCTCTTAAGTAACATATCAAGACTTTTTCTATGGAGCTCTAGGAAAGATCTTGGTGTAATACTATCTCAGTTTATGCTGGATACAGTGACAAAAGTTGGTTTATTCCTTGTAGTTCCCTGACCACGAATGTTAGGAATGTTTTGACAGATCTACAGTAATAAAATATGAGGCATAAAATCTGTTTCGATGTTCTTGTGAGAGTTTTTGTAGTTTAAGATTTGTAGAATGTGTTTAGAAATCAAGTAGTTACTTTAGTGAAATATCCAATTTCAACCACCTCGAGATGTTAATAAAATAAGCCTTGTGCTTTATTTGCATATATTATAATTATCTTATGCAAATTATAGTGCATTTAGTTTTCTAAGTTTGGAATTTTTCTCTTTTCATGCCTAGTTAGAGAAATGAAAGTGTGATAATGATCTTTATCAACAAATTATATTAGTTTAAATAGATTAATGAAGATTTGGCAATGTGTGTTAGAATTCAGAAGCTGTAGATAACACTGCCATTCTTTGCCTTGAAGCCTTATTGCTCTCTAACCCTCTCTCAAGTTAAAATTGACATTGATCTACAAATATGTTTTATGATAGTGGAGAATTTCAGACTATATTTTCAAGGTGAGTGACTAAGTAACAAAATGGAAGGTGAAATTCAGAATAGATAAGTACTTACAGCTTCACATATGAAGTGATGGGTTCTCAACATTTCCAGTCAGGAGTGAAATCTTGGAGTTCTGGTTGGTTTTGTCAAGAAAACATCAGTCAAGCGATCATTAGTAGTCAAAAAAGCAAAATACATAAAAAATACCAGGAAGGTAGTAAAGAATAAAATAGTAATAATCATTATGCAACTTCTTAAACCTGTGATTTGTGCTCATGTTGATTTCTCAATATTTCAGGTCCCATCAGCTGAGTGTATCATGTTGGAAGTAAGACACAAAGAGATGAGAGTTGAGAATACCCAGGCTTACTGCTTAATTTTAAAATCGCTCTCGTGAACTGGAAACTTCATGTTATTTTAAAGAAATGCTTATTCATCCCTATTCATTAAGGATTAAACAAGGATAATTAGCCATAGGACTATTCTCATCCCGAAGCGGGATAATGAATCTGATATCCTCATCAGATAATGTAACATATGGGTTTGAGGAAGGAGTGGTACACTTGTTCAAGAATAAAAAGACCCATTAAGTACTGTGGGCAACATTGTCCTGGATTGGTTTTTAACAACTGTCTGTTCTTAAAGCAATTACTTATAACTTATAGCAAACAGAATATGAAGGTGACTTTGCTTGAATAAATACATCATCTGAAGTTGGTTTAGGTATCTAAAGCAACATGAAATGTATTAAGTTAGCATTCTGAGTTAAAATTTTTAAGCAGATTATTAAATATTAGTTTATTCTTTATTTATTTATTTAATTCATTAGCATCCACCCCCTAGCTCAAATACACCCAGAGCCTTTCTACCAAAGAAATAGAACAGTTGTGGTGTTACTTGATGGAAATAGGATTTTCAAGCCCTTAAAGTTTTTGAACCGGATTGGATAGTGCAAATAAATGAATGCTGCGAAATGCAGTCGTATTTGACAATTGGGTCTTGGTAAATGAAATGGGTGCCATTCAGTAGAATGATCTTACTATCTTAAAATAATCTCCATTCATATCACTGCATTTTTATTTCCTCTACAGGTCTCTCAATACAATATTAAGCAGTGCAGTACAAGGCTTGTCTGTTCTTGAGTCTCATTTAGTGGAAGTGGAAGGAGACACTCTTTGCTTGTATGGTGCTGGAGCGCTGGAGTGCCTGGATCGAAACTGGAGTGTTCAAACAGCAGGAATTATTGTCACAGTCTCCTTTACATTCATAGAATTTGATGAAATTGTTCAAGTGCTAACAAAGTTGAAGACAAAATTTCCTAACTCTGTGGTAAGAATGCCTCAGATTTCAGCTCTGTGAACAGCTGTAGAATATGTATTCTCTAACAGAACCTTAATTTGACATAGTTGTCCTTTACATAAATATATATGTTTGTGAATTACATATTTGCTTGGTGTTATCCTATAACACTAACTTTAACTTGATACTTCTTAAAAATCAAGACTTTAAATTAGATTCTCACAGAAGATGGTGTTTTCTTATCAGACTGGTTATTGTTTTTCTTAATTACTTTGACCTAGCTGATTATTTCTAAGCTGCAAAAACTATGTATAAATACAGTATTGCTATTCTACATTATTATTATGGATCCGTAGTATCAGGAGCCCTTCATTTGTGTTGTGAGTTCAAAGATCATATAGCTGGCTGGTTAAAAAGAGAGATAAAATCCAAAGGGAATAGCTAGCTAAACAAGTACAGCTTTTGGAATTCTTCAGTTCTTGATGAGGCAAAACAACATAAATGAGGCATCCCTTTACTTCTTTTTTTTTTTTCTTTTTTTCTTGTATCTTTAAATCAGTCATTTTGACGCAAATGGTAAAATAGTGATAACATGCTTAAAGCAACTTGTTAATCAGATGATATGCCTCTCAAGCTTCCTGCTTCTTTTTAAGGTTTTGAGTATAACAGAACCTAATGATTTAATTGAGATAGATGAATTTGTGGGGAACTTAAGACAAATTTATCTATCTCAGTTATTGTGGGGGATAGCAGAACCTCAACTAAATTTTTATCTTCACTGTCAATTTTTCCTCCTTCCCTCAGTAACGGTGCTATGTAGCCAAGGATACCATCCTCACAGGAGATCTAGCATAGGGCATGGTTCAAAGAAACATCAGGATATGACTTTAATGCCAGTCTGCTGTGGCCAAAAAAAGCAGAATATTTAAAGACATATATTGTACTAATTTTTATGTGTGGATGTTGCAAGTTGCTTTACTTGCAGAATTAAAATAAACATTGCTCAAGTAGTATCACTGCTTCTTGTAACATTGAAAATATTTGTGCTGTTACTAAAGGGTTTATAAATTGCTTAAGGGGCTTCTAATGTTGACTTTTTAAAATATATGTAATACACCAATTGGTTGATACATTGATATGTTTTGCCACAAAGACCTCAAATGAAGTGAGCTCAGTTGCTTCATCAAACCTAAAGACTGTTTATTTGAGTTTGAAAATCATATGAGTGACACAGAATAGGAATCATTGTGTTCATTCTTTATTGTTTCCTTATTTAATTTATTGTGATTTGACTTTTTTTTTTTTTTTTAAGCACCTGAAGTTTAAGGAGACAAATCTCGTGACGCTGCAGCAATTCAATGCGTTAGGCCAGATGCATCGCATTGAGCAGTTGACAGTTGATCCTCAGGGAAATCCAGTTGTCAGCTTTACTTTGTGGAAATACTATGTTCTGTTTAGACTGAACCATTTCAATCTACAGAAGATAAATGGAGTAAAGGTAGGACAGTGTTGCTTTCTTCTTACTGTTGGTCTTACAAGAAAAATTAGCATTATTATTAAAAAAGCAGATGAATTGCTAATAAAATGAGCAGAACCCTCTCAGTGTCTGTACTGTTTTTTCAATGGAGGGGGGGGGGAATTTTAAGTAGGCTTCACCATGTAATTTCTTGTGCTGTGCATTTGTTAAGTTCAGCTACACTGCGTTACAATTAGCAAAGTTGGTAAGATTCTTAGTTGCCTTAAAAATGCTTTTTTGTCTCAAATGTTTGCAACTACAGAGGACAGTCCAAATCTATACCTGAATGGCTGGGATTTACCTGAAGGGAAGACATTTTATCATTATTATTTTTTGCATGTGTTTCTAGAAAAAATAAAAACATTTTAAAAAAATAAAGAACTTCACACTTTTATTTGATTTTAAGAAACACTTCTTTATTATGTTCAAAATGATCACAGTGCTGACATTGAATACTTGTGCAAAAATGGGTTTTACAGACTACTTAGTAGTTTACAGTATATGATTATTTATATTTACCCGTGCTACAAAGCATAGCTCAAATCATATTTTCTTAAACCTATCACAGGAAAAAGTCTGTGATATAGATTTTTTTTTTTTTTTGCTTGCTATGTATGGGATCATTTGTGTCTGTTTTTTGTTGGGTGTGTGTTTTATGTTTAAATACATAGAAAGTTAAGACTAATATTGCTATTCTTTGTACCTTGTATTCCCCTTTACATCAATTGAAAGTAAATTTATGCAAGCATATAAAATGATTATTTTATACTTGGGCTTTGATCATAAATGGAGTGAGAATAGTTACAATGAAATGCAATGTTTGAATGTGCATTCAATTTTAAATGCTAAGTAAGTTTAAGTGCTGTTATGGAAGTTAATTAGAGCAAAAATAATACATAGTTTTAGTGTTTAGGTCTGGTACTTTAATTTGGTCATTATTATCATCATATGTTTTGGATTAAAGATTTTACTTGTTATCTGATACAGCCATACCCTGAATGTTGTGATTTACTTGCTTTTACTTTTGTAAAACGTGCATCAGTTACACAGAAGAGCAGGAGTGGGTTAAAGAGCCTGCCTGAATTAACTATTGGAGAAAGGATGAGAAAAGGTGAAGAATGAAGGCAAATATGACTCACTGCAACAGCACAGTGTCTTGAAAGGGGGGGGG